TCCGAGACGCACAGATCCCTTAGCCCACACTGCAGACGTCATCAGCCCCCACAGCCCCACTGCCAGCCCGCGGGCCCCGCAGGCACAGCACAGCACACGTCCCACGCCACCGCCAAGCGAGGGCCCCTCGAGCGTGGGGACGATGCCAGAACTGGTCGAGAATGGAGGGGGTACATGGAAAAGGTCACCTTTTCAGTGAGAGATCAGCCATCCCAAAACCAAGTGCTTTTTGGCTGAAAAAGAACCTAGTTTTTGGCCCCGAACAACCATCTGTAGGCCAAATACAACTATTTTTTTTTTTTTTAAAGGAAAGTTGACATTTTCTACAGCAAGATTGTGTTTAGCTGGAATCCTAATTTTTAATCAAAAAAAAAAAAAAAAAAAAGAGAGAAACCCCAAATTCTTCCAGAAAATCTCCCACCAGCCAGGGTCTGCCATGTGAACCCAGATTAGGTTGAAGTCATTTTTAAAGACATATTGATTTCTTGTCTATATTTTCTTCCTGATGTCATTTAAAGTTTTTGGTGCCTTCACTTCACTTCCATACCTTAACATGTTTGAGTCTCTTCTGCAGTTAATATTAATTAATTTCTTGGCTTTATAATGTTTGGTTTGGGGATAATTGCACCATCCCTGTAAGATCATTTACCCTAAATTACTGATATGTGCTTCTAGAATTAGTTCAACTTTAACATAGTTTTGATATGACAATTTTCTTGCTTTTTTTTTTTTTTGCCTTTTCCTTTTTCTTTTTCTTTTTTTTTTTTTAATATTAAAAACTGCATATTTAAACAAAACAAAAAAAAAAAAAAAAAAAAAAAAAAAAAAAAAAGTAAACGCGAATGTTACCCTGTGATAACTCTGTGATTGGAGGAGATATGCTTTCAACCCAAAGCCCCACTCTGTATCGCAGTTCTCCTGCCAGGCTCCCCAGGTCGTTTGGTGACGTCAGGGTCCCCCAGAGCTGTGCAGAGAGGGCAGAGCACTCTGTCCCATCCCGCCCCACCGGGCCCCCCCTTCCTGCCCCATGTCCACGTGCACAGAGGCACACGCATTCGCACCCACACTGCTTTTTTCCTGGTTGCGTCAGGGTATTTAACAAAGGATCTTTTCTTCTGCCCCTATAGTTTTTTTATCTGGAGCTCTTCCTCCGGCAGAGGCTGGCATCATCTCCTATGGGTGCCCGCCCTGCCTCTCCCCTCTCCAAGCCTTTTCCTCCTGGAGGGGCTCCAGCCCCATCCCTTCAGCTTTGCTACCACAGCTGAGGTTTTGGTTGCACCCCTTTAGAAAAGGTGTGGTTTTGGTGGGCCAGTAGAATGCCACAGAAAGCTCCTCAGGGTGACAGAGCAGATTGGCAGAGCAGCACCTCCAGGGGATGGCCACGGTGTTGCCACTTGGGATTTCTTAGAGGCTCCATTTTGATAGCTGTTGGTGCCCCACATGGATGAGCCATCCCAAGAGATGTTCCTCACCACATGCGCCACATGTATGGGATCATGCTAGCTCCGGTCCCCACCCCAGCAGCTTCCCACTGGGGTCCTTGTGAAGCCCCAAACCAAGCAGGCGAACCCCAAGCAGCCCACGCTGTGCTCAAGGGGCCACCAGACCTCCCCACACAGGGTAGCCACAGTGCCAGAGCCACCATCAGAGGCACAGGGGTCACAGTTGCTGCTGACAAACACAGGATGCATTAAATCCTGTGAAATCCTTCTAATGACCAAGGAGCCCATGGAAGCCCACCACACATGTAGCCCACCAGCCCTCCTAGGTAGTGTGGTAAATGTCCATGGAGAGGGCTCACACAGCAGCACACCAAGATCTTTTCCTGGCACCACGTTAGGTCCTCAGAGCAGCATGACAGAGGGGTCAGTGTCACTGTTTGGCACTGGTGCCACCCAACCACTCAGGGCTTGGAGCTAGGAGAATGAGAGGAAGGAGGCAGGGAGGCAGGGAGGAATCAGCTGCCCATTTGCTAGCCCCTAGCTGGGGAGAAAGGCTTTTTTTCTTTTTTCTTTTTTATTTTTTTGGCTGTTACAGAGGTGTTTCTGCTCTCCCTGCTGGTGGGGATGCAGCTGGGGAGGTTTTTCCCAGGGGTGTTGGCTGAGCACCCCACTGCAAGGAGTGCAGAACCCAGAATCCAGGCCACATCTGCACAGGCTGCACTTTCACATTAGCAAGTGACGCTACAGCTTGTCGCCAATCAGCCGCACAGCACAGCTCCTCACCTGCGCACAAGGGTAGGAAGAGCAGAGGCACTCAGGCAAGGAGATGCACTGCCATGGCCTCAGAGCACAGCTGGAGCTGCCACCGGCCATGCCCTGCAGCCACATGCTCAGCCGTGGGCTGGGCTGGCAGGTCACAGCTTCTTCTTGTGGCATTCCCTAAGCAGGCAAGGGCTGGCTCCACAGGTGCCAGGCACCACGCCATGCCCCAGTGTCCTCCCCATCCGGCCATAGAGTGCATGGAGAGCGTCTGCAAGGACCTCTGCACGAGGCTGGAGCACAGGGGACCTCAGCCACGAGCAGGTATGGGGCCTTTGCATCACCCCCAGAGATATCCTGTAGGGACACAGGAGGTGTGAGGAGATGCGGGGGAGAGTGCCAGGACTGCCTAACGCTCCTCTCTCTCTGTCTGTGTATTTGTGTGTTGCAGCAATACCATCCCACTGACATCACCGGCCAGCTCAACCTCTCCGACCCCTCCGTCAGCACTGTGGTTTGACCTTCTCCCCAAGGGCCATCAGTCCTTGCCCGGCACAGTAGGAAGGCACAGCCAGGACTGCCTCTCAAGGGACACTGATGGGTTCTTCAGGGTGAGATGGGAGTAAAGCATCCTTCATCCATACACGGTGACTTCATTGTATATCTCCCTCCCTCCCTAGGCCTGCTGCCACACTCACGCCCCAAAATGCATGGCAGAACCAGGACAGGGTTTGGACTTCACTGTACAGAGAAAACTGCTCCCAACCAGTGCTGTTGTTGATCAGTATTGCCACTGACTGGCTGCGTGTGAGGGGAAAGGACTTGGAAGGCACGTGGTGCCTGCTGTCCTGCAGTGGTAGGGAAGAGCCGGTGTCAGGCTGCAGCCACGTGTTTGGCTTTGCAGGCTCTGGGTTCCCACAGATCCCAGAGATGTTCTCATGGAGCGGCCAGGGACTGCTGCCATGCAGAGATCTGCCACCAGCACAGCAGGGCTGGGAGATGTGCACGCTTCTCGTGGCCAGGGGATGAGCGCCCGTTCCCCTCCATCAGCCCCTGCTCAGTGCCCATGACCGAATGTGGTGCTCTGGAGCTCCCAGCCAAGATCCTGGCTTCCCATATCTGCACACAAGGCATCCCCAAGGCCTGGCCATGGCCAGCACGTAACTTTCACACTGTAGCTGACATGATCAGGAGACAAACAAGGCAAACCGAGTGCCAGCTCAGCAGAAGGCAACTAAGCAAGACCGTTCAGAGCTACTCCTCCCCATGCACCGAGCTTCTACAAGCAGGTGTTTCAAGCAGCCATGAGCACTCCAACACCCAGGAAACACCACCCAGGTTGGGGATGAGTACCTGCAGATGTGTATGAGCAGCAAGGGCAGAAAACCCATCTGCAATGTGGTACCAAGCCCCTGTGGAGAGCACCACCTCCTCCTTGCCCCAGCCAAGCAGGTGTGACAGACAGGGCCGGCAAGATTTTCGGGTGGCAGCTGGGGTCTGTGAGCATTGTCCCACTGACTCCAGTGGCTCCATCAAGTTCATCTCACTCCAGCTGAGAAATCAGGCCCATTCGACTTTATACGTCAGCGTAACATTGATACCAAGTTTTTGCAAGAGCTCAGTAAAGTCTAGACTGGATTGTGGAGTGGTTTATTGCTGCGCCGTGTGCCTCCATCTGTTTCTCCCTCTCAGCAGAGCTGGCAGGAAGCCCTGTGCTAAATCAGAGCCTCACCCAGCACTTCTGCAGGGCTCATGGCAAAAAGGTGGGGGGACAGGGAGGGATGGAGCAGGGAGAGGGCCAGGAGCTGCAGGGAGGGTGGGGAGGAGTGAGGCATTCCTATTCTAGGATGGCAGGATGGATGGAGATTGTGTGGACAGACCCAGGCTGAAGCCAAACACCAGCACCATGCAAGCTGGCTTTGCCCACCTCCATCCTGATGCAATCTGGGTTGAGGCTGCTGGGACATATTTTTCTTTCCCCCCTTGGGCTGGTGACAGCAGCCATCTCACCAGCCACTGCAGGACCTTATTCTCATTCCCAACATGGAGACAAGTGGAGAGAAGGGCCCAGCAGCAACCCCACGCACCCTTTGCCTCCTAGTGTTTTTCTTTGCTATGCCGTACAACCCCCAATAAGCTTGTGACATCATCCATGACATCATTCACTTCCAGCTTTGCCTCCCTTTCTTCTTCATGGCTTGACGTTTGTCCCCATGTTCCCAGCCAGTGGCCACAATGGTTTGAGTCCCCAGGGAGGATGGCTGTGCGCCCAGGAGGAGCAGGCAGCCAGGTGGCTGTGGGGGATGTCAGACAAGGTCCTAGCTCCTCATGGGAAGCCCAGACCTGCCCAGAGAGCCACATACGCACACAGGGCTGGTCTGTGTCTTGCCAATAAAAATGAGAGCAGGCCACAGCTGAGGTTACATTTAGTTTATTCTCTGTATGATTTATTTAACTTCTGCCAAAATCTTGCCAAAGGATGCATTGGCCACATCCCTGGCTTGTCCTACAGCTCTCGCACAGGCAGGAAATCATTTCTATGCCATTGGAGCTAGTGGAGAAAGGTTGATGTTCACAGGCATCTCACTGTGGCTCCCATTGCCTTGCAGTGCTCAGGGACTGTTTCTCCTCTGCGAGAGTTACCCCCTTCACCCCAGTTGTACTTTTGCATATAAGAAAAAGTTTTTTTTTTACAAAAAGAAGCACCACCAAAGGTGGTGGATGCCCCATTTCTACAGACATTCAGGGTCAGGCTGGATGGGGCTTGGAGCACCTGATGGAGCTATAGCTGTCCCTGTTCATTGCAGGGGATTTGGACCAAATGCTCTTAAAGAACCCTTCTAACTCAAATGGTTCCATGATTCCATGATTCTACTTCCATCTGCCACATGGATGGAGGCTCTGGGTTGCCCCAAAAGGTCCTCAAATGCACTGGTAGACCCACAGATACCTGGGGCACACATAAAGCCAAACAGATGGCATGTGGATGCACCAAAAACCAAACCATGGGACAGGAGGGATGTGTGAAGGATTGCTGAGAGTCACTGAATGCAGGGTGGAGGGTGATGAGAGCACTGAAAGACACAAGGAGGTAAATGGGACACACTCAAATGCATGGAATGAGGCACGAGGGGGTGAGCCAAAGGAAAAGGATCAGCAAAAGGTCCCCTCTGCCCTTGGTGGCCTTGACTCAGTGACACGCAGTGCTGAGGGTTCTCCTCCAGCTTTGGGGTTCCTTGCGTAGATGCTGGTAAATAACCACGATGGAGCCTATCAAGGTACAGCAGAAGATGCTGGCCAGGAAGGAGAAGGGACCGATGAGCAGAAAGGCAGCGTAGTTCTGGGCTGACAGCGGGATCTTCTGACACTGCTGGAAGGAATCATTCCCAAAGGCCATGATCGGGTATGTGTTCAGTGACTTTGGGAACATGCACCGGAGAGAACTCCTCTCTGGAAGAGAGAAGTGGTGGTGGTGGGCACATGAGGGGACAAGGCAGGTGGGACAGCAGGGCTGTGTGGGACACAGGGGACCAGGGCAGGAGGATGGACTGCAGGGCCAGGCTGGTCAAAGTGGCACAGAGTAGGGCTCAAAGAAAGGAAGCGGGGAAGGTCCCACACTCATCCATGTCCTATACCCTGGGGAGTGGGATGGATGGGGAGGTGGGCACAGACCGGGGCAGGATGGGTCAGGCAGAGTGGGGAATGGCTCCCTGGGGGCAGCAGTGAGCAGGCAGTCTGGAAATGGCACAGAAAGCCCCACCAGTGGAAATGGATGGGAAGGAGTGGAAGGAAAGACCTCACCAGTGGATCAGACCCACACTCATAGGGTCTTCCCCATAGGGAAGAGGCTGAAGGCATCGGGCCTTGATCAAGTCAAGTGTGACGCCCACCCCACAGGTGCACATTGCCCATCCTTGCCCTCCCTGTGGCAGGGAGACAGTGGGACAGTACAGGGTGCCGACCCCACCACTCTGGGCAGTCCCTGCTGGTGACCAAGGAGCGGCCACGAGGAACCAGATCTGAGGACAAATCCACCCAAATGGGGCTGGCTTTTGGGAACCTTGCAGGAACCCCAGCCCCTTCACCCAAAGCCTGGCAGCTGATGGGGGAGCCCAGAGAAGGTGGAGCAGGTGGGGGTGTGGGGACACATTCCCTTGGGCACTCACCTGGCACTTTCTCCCTGTTGTGTTCCAGCCAGCGCCAGAGGGGCAGGATGCTGCAGGAGCACATCCAGGGGTTCCCATTCAGGAAGATCACTTGGAGCTGAGGCAGGGCAGGTAGCACACCTGCCTCCAGCTGCTCCAGCCTGTTGTAGCCTAAATTGAGGATAGACAGGCTGGTGAGGGGCAGGAAGGTCTCGGGGCTCAGCACAGACAGGTAGTTGTCACTGAGGTCCAGCTCCTGCAGCGTCCCGAGTCCCAGCAGCGCCTGCCTGTGGATCTTCTCCAAGCGGTTATGGGTCAGGCTGAGCCGCAGCAGCACCGGCAGGGAGGGGAAAGCATAGGCCCTGAGCACGGCGATGAGGTTGTAGTCGAGCCAGAGGGTGCTGGCATTGGTGGGCAGGAGCCGCGGCACCTCGTGCAGGTCACGCTGGTGGCAGTCCACGTCCCCTGCCTGGCAGTGGCAGGTGTGGGGACACGCTGGAGCAGGCAGTGGGCACAGGAGGAGCAGTAGGGCCAGCAGGACGCTGGGACCCCTCCATCCACCCGTGGCTGCCCACCCACGCGGTGGGGGCTCCCCAGTCCCTGGCATTGGCGTTGCCCCCATGGCAGGATGCCTGATGGCCTTGCCTAGCCCCGTGTCCCTGACTGGCACCCTTGGGTGCAGTGAGCAGCTGGATGTGCCTGGCTCCCGGTAGCTGCACGCATTCCCCACTGCATGCTGTGTTGTGCTCGGGGTGGAGCCGCACTTTTCTTAGCAAATATTTTTGCAGTGATGCTAGCCCTGGCAAGGTGCGGCCGTGCCCTCACCCCTCCCCTTGCCAGGCACTGCTCCAGCCAGGTAAGCAGCCAGATCTGTGCTGTCCATATTTAACTGCTTGTGTGCACTGCAGGCTGGGGAGGGGGAAAAAATGATCTTCTGGCCTGTGTCCTGCTCACAGGATGCACAGAGGACCCAGGGCGAAGTACCCAGCAAGGATGGGACAAAGCATCAATCATGTCATCAGCAGAGGTCCTGCCAGGTGTCCCCTGTGGGCAGCCCTTGGCTGGGATCTGTTTCCCTTGGCTGGGGACCAGCAGCCGGGGCAGGGTGAGGGGAGCTGGAATGTGACCTCCACTCGACACAAGGAAGGTGGCTGTGCCAGGCTGCTGCCACTTGGAACATGTTCATCCTGGCCTTGGCATGGCAGTGCCAGCACCAGCGGGCTCAAAGTCTGCCCCCACCCTGTTTACATGTACTCTGGTTTCAAAGCCCCACAGCGGGTGCTGAAGGAGGGAGGTTCTAGCTCCCCATGCCTCAGTTCCCTGAGAAGCCCTTGGGAACCAGGGGACCTCATACCACCCATCTCAGCAATGGATTGGAGGTGTCCTCATGGCTCCTTTGCCATTTGGGACCCAGGAGACTTCCTGCCACCCCTGCAGAACCTGCACCCCCAGCCAGATCTGGGATGTTCTCAGATCCGGGGCAGGAGCGGCAGGCAGACCGGTTTATTAATAGCCTCTAGAGGAGCTTTGATTTGTTTATCTACCCTGCAGCAAACTCAGTATGCTGCATTAATCCCCATCTGGAAATAATTCAGAGGAATCTTCCTACCCAGCCCAGCCCAGCCCTGGTAGGGCACAGCCACGCTCCACAGTGCCCTGCAGCACCCACTAATGTGCAGCACCCTGGGATGGATGCGGATTTGAGTTTTCAGGGACCCAGTGCACTCAGAGATTCATTGCCCAATGCACCAAGGTGCAAAAATGATCAAGAAAAAGATTACAAGGTCATTTCCAGCAAAAGCTCAGGGAGCCCATTGTAGATGTGAAGCATCTCAGAGCTCTCATTCACTGCCACTCTGCAGCACACCTCAGTGACAAGTGGCAAGATGCATCTCCACCAGTGGGCCTGGCACCCCAGCAGTGTCACCACCATCCTCTCACTATCCCTGTAAGTCCTCTGCTGGGCACCCTGTTCCCAACACCAACAGCAGTATGGCCCTTTGGGTCCCTTTCACTCATCCCTTCTCTGGACAGGGAGCACAGCATCTGCAAGTCTCCATCTTCAGCTAGGGCTGCACACCACAGCAATGCCTCCTTTGGAGATTTTGGGCTCCTAAGCCCAGCCCCATGGCCAGCACCAGGTGTGGCTCTGAGCATCCCTGTTCTACAGCAGTAGCACTAGGGCTGTGCTGGTTGGCAGTGGTCCTGAAGGCACTGCACAAGGGGATTGAAATGGGGTGCCCAGACAACAGGCCAAAACCATTCCCAAAATGAAGCGATGGAGATGCAGGTGCCTGGACTCTGCTATACACAGCTCGGGGCTCCGACTCTTCTATGATAGGTGACACCAAGTGGCAGAACTGTGAATGTGCTGCGCACACCGTGGGTGCCGCACCAAGTGAGGGAGGGCACTGGGATCTTGCAGCTGCAGTCCTGGCACCTGGTGCAGGGCAGAACTGAGGTGGCACCGTGGTGCCCAGCAATGGGATGCTGCAAGAACTCATCAGCCACATGGAAATGGACTCAGAGTCCACCCAGCCCTCCCCAGGAGCTGCATTAACATCACCCTGGTGCACCCCAGACCTCCACATTTGGCATCTGCTAAGCCCACATTGTGCTAGAGCACAGCAGTTGGAGGCAAGATCAATCCAAAGAGCCCCAGTGACAATGTCATCCTCAATTTTCACTGTCCAGCTGCCCCAGTGCCCCATATTTCTCACACAAATGACAAACAAAGCAAGCAAAGAAAAGCAATTGGGCAAAGCAGGTCCCTGCTTCCTGCTCTGGGTGCAAGACTTGCCCCGAGTTAGCATGAGGATGAACAACAAATGCAACATGTGCAGCTTAGGAGATGTTTAATGGATGTGGGACCTCCAGGCTGTGGCACACTCCCTGAAGCATCCCTGAGTCAGTGTGCTGTGCCAGGCTCCCATGCCACCTGTCCTGGTGAAGGTGTCCCCACTGCAGAGCTGCATTCATGGAGAAGCTGTGCTGTTAGGTCCTGGGAGCATCTGTGATGGCTGGAGCAGGTTTGGAGCTGCCGGAGGGGTAAGTCGGCAGGGCGAAGGATGGGAGCATTCTCATGCCCCCTGCTGCAGCCCAAATCCCAGCAGAATGGGAAAAAGCCCATGGACAAGCTGGAGCCCTTCCTAGACTACCAGAACAACCCCACCACTGCTATCCACAATGACTCTGGGGTGTGGTGTGGAGATTCCCAAAAAGTGACCCAGGCAGCACCCCAAGAGCTCAGCTTGGAGGCACAGAATGCTTCAGTCCACCAAACCCTGCTGTCCTCATGTCCCCACATTCAGATCTCAAAAGCTGCCGTCACCCCACAGCAGATGCACGGCTGGCAGCAGCCACGGTTCGGGAACGGTGCCCGGGGCACTGCGTCCTGGCACAGCCCCAGCGGCTGCTGCGTGACCGGCGGCTCCTTGCACAAGTCCTTGGTGGCCACATCCTGCAGGGAGCGTGCGGCCACCCAGGGATGCTCCTTGTCAGCCTTGACGAGGAGAAAAGTGGCCAGGTCGAGGTCGAGCATGGTGACACCGCCGCGCGGTGTGGGCGTATTTTGGCGGCACTGTGGGCAGGGGATCCAGCGCTGCTCGTTGGCGACGGCGTCCAGGCGCTTGAGGCAGGTCTGGCAGAAGGTATGGCCGCAGTAGAGCCGGCGAGGCAGCCGGCCACACAGGTCATATGAGGAGTAGCAGATGATGCACTCAAGCTTCTGGCTGCCCCGGCTTGGGGTGCGCGTGTGTGCCTCGGCACGTGGCCCCCCGTCCTCTGCACAGGGGCTGCTACCAGCCTGGGACATGCTGGGGGGGGGAGGAGGGTGGGAGGGAGGAGGGAAGAAAATGTGTCAGTGCTAAAGCTGGGGAAAGGACTTGTAGCCGAAGTGCAGGAAGCAGCTCCATGCAGCTGGAGTGGCTGTGGGTTCCTGGGGCTACTGGGGACCCTGCCCTATGGTGGGCTCTGGGGTGCCCTCATCCATGGGGCTGTGCTATCCATGTGTCACCCTGTGTCCCCACCGTGAGCTGCGCTGAATGCCCCTTTCCTCCCAAAAGATTTGGGGGTGGCCAGATCCCAGTTGCCTTCATGGGGCTATGGGTCAGTGGGCACCATGGGGTGGGGAGGAGCTGGGAGCTGTGCACAGAGGGCCAGGCCATGCCACAGCCCTGCTCCACGTCAGCCCTGGAGCACTGTGCTGTGGATGCCAGCAGCAGGGAACATGCAGGTTGGTGGGGGGGAACTGGGGTGGGTTCAGCATCATCTCAACATATTTGCAACCCTCTCCCAGAGACCACCAGGACCCCACTTCCTCTCCAAAAGGCATTTTGGTCCACGTGGGTACCCCTTCTTCCCCCATTCCTGTCCCCCATCCCTACCTGAATGCTCTCCTCCCCAAGTCCTCAGGGGAGGCAGCAGAGGGGCTGCACCACCCTGGGGGGCTGTGTCAGTCCTGGGAGCAGCATTGGGTCTGGCGACTGCCCGGCTGTGTAATGTGAAGGGGCTCGCCTTTCAGGGGCAGATGAGTATCAGATCTGCTGCTGGAAGTCAAGCCTGGGAGATTGGATTACGAGCACCCAGATAACAAAGCCCTCTGAAATCGAAGCCCTCTCTCTGCTCCTGGGAGCATTCGTTAGCCACCTGTTCTGCCTCCTTGGCAGGAGAAACTGTCCCTGTGAGACCAGGCTGAAACACTGGAGGACACAGGCTGTACCTGGGCAGCAGCAAAGTCTTCTCCATCTTCATCCAGGCATCTCTGGGCAGATGTCGGCCAGCAGAAGTCCCATCACCCTGTGGATGCTCTGGGACATGCATGGGACAGATGCCACCAAAAGGTGAGGACAACAAGGGCTGGGCTTGGGGAGCTTGGGCTGCTACAGAGACACCACAGCTTCTGCCTGGCATGTGGGTTCCACGTGCAGGGAAATACAGGGAGACAGAGTCCCTGCACAGTGCTCTTCTGGAAACAATGCTCATTGCCAGACTTGTGGGGCAGAGCCTGGACCCTCGGGAGCCCCTGTCAGGTCCGTGCTGGTGCCTGGCCCGGGGGTAGTGGCAGCCTGGGGCGAGTAGCAGCGTCACAGCCGTGCAGGGAGAGCAGAGGACTTGGAAAGACAAATCCAGGATCCCGGAAGAGCACAGCCAGGAGCCCTCAGCACTTCTGCCTGCGAGCAGGAGAGGGCAGCAGGCAGCAATGCAGGCAGGAGCGGGTTCCCAATCTGTTCCCACGAAGCCAGAACTGGAAGAGCCGGAGGGGGTGAGGGGGGAGTGAGCTGGAGACCGAGACCCCCGTGCTCGGGAGCAGAACAGCACCGCAGCTTTGGGGTCGAAGCAGCTGTATCCTGACGTGTCCTCGGCAGCACAGACCGGGTGGGATCCCACTGCCGGAACCGCGTTGGGGGTAGCGTCCCCATGCTGGCAGCCAGGGCAGCGCTGGGCATACCGATGGGCACTGGGTGCTCCATTCAATAACCATCTGCTCGGGGATGGCTGGGCACCCGGCAGCCTGGGGATGTCCTGCATGTCCCAAAGCTAGCAAGGAGAGCAGGCTTAGGGGGATCCCATCAATAAGTGCCTGCACAGAGGGGCTGTGGGGTCTCTGAAGCCACGCGGTCCTGGTCACCCTGTGTTGGAGCAGGGATAGGACCAGGTGGACACTGAGCTGCCTCCAGCCTCAGCCCTGCTGTGATTCCTGCAGACTGGGACACATGGGACCTGTGGTCAGGGCTGGGATGGGGCAGGGAGACCCCTGGGTGGCATGGGTACACTGAGGTACATGCATGTACAATGAGGTACATGCTGCCTGAAACCAGCTCAGCTCTGCGTGCCCTGCGGAGACACCCAAACCTGGGCGCGGGGCAATTAGCAGCAGCCAGTGGGTGGGAAAAGTGTTTATCTGTTCCCAGCACTCAGCTGCAAACCGTCCCAGGAGCCGTGGGGACCTTTGGCACTGCAGAATAGGGAGAGGCCCCATCTGCAGAGTACAAAGGTCTGCTACAGATGAGCTGGGGCTGCGCATCACCACCCACACCGCACCCACATGGGAAAGCAGCGCCCTCCCCACACCCAGCACCCTGCCAACACCCCACCTCTATAGAGAATTGCCCCTATACCAACACACACAGCGCAAGAAAGAAATAGGAGGAGTTGGGAACCGTGGTACAGTTGGAAAACTGTGACCTTATTGCTGTCGTGAAAACATGGTGGGATGGTTCACATCACTGGAATGCCACCGTTGAGAGCTATAAGCTTTTGTAAAGGGATAGGCGAGGTAGGAGAGGTGGGGGAGTTGCCCTCTGTGTTAAAAAATGGATAGACCATGAGGAGCTGCCTCTGAGAAACAGTTGGGAACAGGTGGAGAGCCTGTGGGTTGAGATTTGAGATCAGATGAGTAGAAGACAGCTGGTGGTCAGGGCCTGCTGCAGGCTGCCTGATCACAGGGAACTGATTGCCTAAACCTTCTTGCTTCAGCTGCAAGCGTCATACTCACAGGCTCTCATCCTGGTGGGGGATTTCAACCACATGGATCTCTGATGGGAAAACAACACAGCAAGCTGTAAGCAATCCAGGAGACTCCTGGAATCCATTGATGATAACTTGGACAGATAGATCAGAGGCGAAGCATTGCTGAACCTGGGGCTCACCAACATGGAGGAGAACGTTAAAGATATGAAGATGGGAGGCAGCCTGGGCTGCAGTGAGCATGCCCTGGTTGAATTCATAGTCTTGAGGAATGTGGGCCTGGCAAAAAGTGGCTTCAGGACCCTGAAATTCAGGAGGGCCAACTTCAGGCTGTGTAAGGAGTTGTTGGATGAGATCTCCTGGGGAGACAAAGGAGTGGAGCAAAGCTGGATACTTTTCAAGGATGCCTGTCTGAGAGCACGATAGCCCTCCATCCCTCAGAATAAGAAAGCAGGCAGAGGAGGCATGGCATGGCCTGGTCAGGATGTGCTGGTCAGGCTGAGGGATAAGGGCACGTACAGGCAGTGGAAGCAAGGATGTGTCACCGGGGCAGAATACAGGGATGCTGTCCAGACATGCACAGATGGGATCAGGAATGCCAAGGTGCAGACGGACTTGCAACAAGAAGGGATTCTTCAGGTACAGAGGTCACAAGGGACAGACCAAAGAGCTCCTCTGCTAGATGGGAAAGGAGAACTGGCTACAACAGACGTGGAGAAGGCTGAGGCATCCAATGGGTTCTTTGCCTCAGTCTTCACTGGCAGCCAGGATTCTTGTATTTCTCTCATCCCTGAACATCACATCCCAGAACCTCTAGGTGGGATCTGGAGGAGCAAATTCCCCCGCACTGTAAGGGCAGAGCAAGTCCAAGGCTGACTCATGAGAATGAATGCATACAAGTCTATGGGGCTGGATGACATGCATCCCAGGGCTGATGTGGTTGCTGAGCCGCTCTCCATCATGTTAGAAAAGTCATGGCTGTCAGGTGAAGGGATTGTCCCCCCTCTGCTCTGCTCTCATGAGGGGGCATCTGAACGACTGCATCCAGTTCTGGGGCCCAGCACAGAAAAGACATGGAGATTTTGGACTGGGTTGGACCCACAACCGAGGGGTTGTGGGTGTCCATTCTTGGATGTGGAAGGGGCCCCGAGCAGCCTGAGCTGGGCTTGATCTAGCAGTTAGAAACCCTTCCTGCCAAACTGTACCTGATGATCCTTGTGGTCCCTTCCAACCCAAGCCATTCCATGGTTCTATGATTCTTACAGAATTAATGATCCCATGAACACAGGCAGCACCCATCGCCCCCCCTGCCAGCATCACCCATAGCCCCACGTGGCCATCCCAGTGCCCATCCCCAAGCCCTCCTCTGCCCACCTCTGCCTTCAGCTTAATCATTGCCCAGGGGCTGGCGGGCGGCGCCCTGCAGCCGTGTTTGTCATCTGCCCAAGGTTACACAGAGCGAAGGGCAGAGCTGACACACAGTGCTGCTGCAGGGAGATGGGCTCTGCCCCACGGCACATCCCCACACGTGTGTCACCACCATGCCACCACCTCCACGCTGCGGGTGGGCTCTGGGTTGGGGAAGGGCTGACAGCCAGGACAGGGAGCCCACAAAGCAAACACGGGTGGGTGGGTCAGTTTGTTTCTCTGTCAGCACTGCTTGTCTCCATGTCAGCACTGCCAGTGTCCAGACAAGAGCTCCTTGTGCAGGACGTGCATGGAGCCACATCCCTGCCAGCATCGTCCTGTGAGAGGCAACACCCTCTGGCACCCATCAGCGTGGGATGTGGGCCAGGTGGAAGAGCCAAGCTGGCAGGGCCCCATCCCAAGCCTCTGCCCCTCTGGCCCCGGAGGTCTTGGGGTGATGGGAACAGAGGAGTAGTGGGAAACGAGGGGTGGTGGGCTGCCAGGGCTGGTGGGCATCCCTATAGGATGGTCACCCACAGCAGTAGGCTTCCAGTGCTGGTGGCCTCCCAGGAGTCACAGCCAGCCCAGGCAGTGCCATGAAGGCCCCCATGCCCCAGCTGCCCCAGCCAGGACCCCAGATCTTCCCCAACCACCCCCAAAGCTGAGTTCTCTCTTTCTAAGGGCTGGGACGACACACAGGGCTAGGTCAAGCACTTGGGCAGCATCCCCAGGCTGGCCACAGTGGGTTGTGCTGGAAGCACCCAGGTAGGGGGAGGCAGGAGGGGGGCTGGCAGCAGTGAGGTGAGGAGCTCAGCCAGCGGTGAAGGAGTTAAGCTTTGGGGAAGGGCGAGATCTGCGTGCCCCCCACACTGCACTACAGAGCCCAGCTGGAGAAGCAAGAAGTAACTTGAGGATCCCGGAAAAGCAAGGGCAGAGGGAAGAGGCGTACCTTGGCAGGGCAGGAGGTGGCTGTCATTTATTT